CTAAACTTTTGGTCTGGCTCTGCCACTGGTTGCGTATAAAAATTACTTTCACTCCACACTTGTTAATCAAATTTAATTAGGGAGTGATTTTTTTTTTATTCTTTCCATTGACCCACATTAATACAATGGAATGCTATAAAAGTATAATAAATGATCATCTTAATTGATATCAATCACAATTGATTCATATCCATGTAATTCTAATTAACTACTATAATTGAATCTATTAAAAGATTTTTTGTATCTTAATCTTTTTTTTTGTTTCTATTCTTTATTTTATTTTATTTTTCTACATTTACAAATTGTTTGTCAACTTATGTAATCTTGGAATTGTATTTGTAGGGGAGAGAATATGAAGAGAAATTTTTGACTACTACAAGTATCATGATATGTTTGTTGTATTTATGTAGTCACTTTAATTGACATAGTATAGATTGTTTGTTGAATCTGATGAAATATATGTTATTTAGTTTGAGCATTTTACTTTTGAAAGTGACTTAAATGTATATTGTGATGAGTTTTGTTGTGATTCATGGTTTTGTTTAGACATTGAAATTGTGATTTTTGTTTTAGCAACAGAATTTGAGTATTTTGTAAAGTTGATTCATGGTTCGATTCTGCTTGGAAGTTAAAAATTAACAGACTAACGGATCAAATCAAGTCAAGCTATTTGTTTTTTTATAAACAGAGATATGACAGATTTTTTAGCATAGATTTAGACTTTTCGGAGCAAAGCTCCGCTTAATCCGACCTACTTTCACTCCTACTGATAAGCAATGCTATCGTTGATAGCCTTTGAAGCTACTCCATGAGCACATATGTTCCCTTGGCCATTCAAGAACTGGCAAATAATATCCCATTTCTTTTGCATCCATTCACGAATTAGTTCAAGGGCATTCTTGCAGTCCCTCTCTATTATTATCAATTTGCGAATCCCCAAACTCCAAGCGAGCTGGAGACCACGCAAGACCAAGCGAGCTAAAGTGACTCTGCCCGCAAATGAGAGACATTGACTTTTCCATCCGTGTAGCTTCTTTCTAACCTTGTCTATTGTCCATGTAATGCTCCTTCTTGTTGCTCCCATACTGAGGAATCCCAGGTACCTACCTATGTTCTTTGTCCTCTTCAACTGACAGCGTTTATATATTTTTTCTGCAATATCATTAATTATCAACATTAGGGGAAAGTAAATCAAGGTTTTACTGTTACTGACCTTTTGCCCTGACATTGCTGCAAATGTTTCCAAACAATCCATCACTGTAATTGCCTGTTCGACTGTCCCTTCCGCAAAGAGCATTAAATCAGTCCCATCAACTCGGTCGAGGTCACGGGATTACGGGATCACGGGTTCAACCGGGGATGATGAGGTCATTATGCTGATCCAGTTTTATATATTAAAAAAGTATAAATATAGGGTTTAATATTTGTCATTTAAAAGAATGGTCCTTTTAAATAAATGTAGTGTATTTTTTAAAATTTTAAATTACAAAATTTTCCCTCCACTTTTTCTCTCCCATAACTTGTTCCTTTATCTCTCTAAAAGGATATAATTGTGTGTCCTTTTAAAGGGACGCACACTTTTCCCATAAATATATAGATCTTATATGAAAATATTAAAAAGCAAATCACCAATCATTATAATTTACCAATTACAATCACAAGTCAATATTACACAACCTAATTAAAGTATCAAGATATCAAAGTACAAAACTCATATTCTAATGATACCAAATTATCAAGATACCACAAGTCTAAGTCGCTCGGAGAGAAGAGAATGATTAAATTTAGGTTTGCAAGCATTTTTTTTTAATAAAATGACGTTGTTTCATGGAAAATTTTTTTAAAAAAAGACACATGCAATGACCCTCTTTGACCCCTCTGACCCGGGAGTCACTGAAACTCGGCCGGATTTTGGGGGTCGGAAGTGTAGTGCATATAAGGTCCAACTTGTGAACTCAACCATCAGAGAGGAAGAGTCAGTATTGACTCGGGTCAACTCAGGAGATAGAGTGAGATTTTAAAACACGGATTAAAATCAGCAAATAATAAGTGAGAGACTTGTGGACACTTCCTTCCTGCTCCGATGGCCTTTCCAGGGGCAGCCATTCTCTCGTGCAAAAGGGACAAAATTTTGCTAAAACAAGAGTGTAAACATACGAGATATTTTTAATGTAATTTTGACTTTGATTATTTGTTATATAAAAGGATTTTAAATTGAATATAATTTTTTTTTGTATTTCCTGTTTTATGAAGTGATTACTTTTGAGTCTCGTTTAATTAAAATATAAATACAAAATTTATTTTATTATAAATTTTTAATACATAGGACACATGATTAGAGTTAATATTGACGATTTTCTTTTTGACTACATTAATATTTTGGTTATCTAACGTTTACATGAGACTCGTTTGGTCTTTTAAATATTTGTGATGTCAACTTAGTTCTTTTAAGATTTAAAGTGACTATTAAAATAATCGTAATTAATATCGGGAAACTTGAGAGAAGGATTATTTAGATGTCAAATTAAATTTTGGAGGACTACTTTAATGTAATAAATGGTTAAAAAATTAAATTGATTTTAAGTGTATCTTCAGAAGACTAAAATGATGGTTAAGTACTTTTTTTAAAATAGTCATTAGATTAGGTTGTTTTTTTTTTAAAGAATTGTTTACTCAAATATACCTAAAATGATCATAGCCGAATTGGTTTGTCTCCAGAGATTGAATTATTTGTTTTTTCCCTCTGTTTTGGGCAAAATTTAATAAAAAAAATGACATCATTAGTTTTTTTAAAAATAAATTGACATTGATTATAAAATTTAATTAGAATGTACTATTAGCATAAATAATTTATACTGACTTTTAGGGGGCGTTTGGTACAAAGGTTTTTGTAGGATTCCTGGGAAATTGAATTTTTCTAAATTTTTAATTTTCGGATATTATCGTAAATTGAATATTTTCATCATATTTCTGAAAATCGAGATTCCCGAATAAAAAAAAAATTTACTCTACCAAACGCCCCTTAATAATATTTTAACACACACAGTGAATTTCCCTATCCAAGTATGCTTGACTCCCCTTCTTCTTTATCATGACATATTTGTGGCAAGTAATTCCTAGACACCCTATGGGGGCATTTGGTTGAGGTTATTTTTTATTACCCCATGCATCTGGTTTTGGTAAACTTGGACGTCCATGTTTGGTGAAGATTTTTGAAATATTTCCCCATCTAACAGATTTCCCTTGCGTTTGAAGCATGCGTGTAAAAAGGGAAATAAATCACTGTTCCAAATGACAACTTCGATGGTGGTATTTGTAATTTCGTGGGTAAATAGCAAGAAGGACAACCTGTGGAGACCAAAATACCCTGATTCAAACCCCATGGACACTCATCTCTACTTTCAAATGGTAGATAATTGGTCATGATTCCTTATTTACATCGTATTGATTATCAACGACCAATCATTCTCTCTTCATCTTTGTCTTTCATCTGAAATGGGAGTCTGGGAATCTGGAACTAGAAGCAAAAGTCCACATGGTTTCCAATTCGACTCCATATCTGATTAAGTTCAATGAAACCATTCACAAGCTCAATATAAAAAAAAAAACATATTTTCTCAATAAACGTTTGATGTTCGCTGGATTTAATGGCTTTGGAGTTTTACTTTTTGTCACCAATATCCATCATATATTTTTGGGCAATTTTTTTTTTCACGCATCTCTGAAAATTATCTAAGTTGACAACCAGTGATGAGGTATGTGCAGATGTGATGCTTGCCAACTGGAGAAAGGAGATGCAGAGAGGAAGAGACAAGTATGTGCAGATGTGAAGGGGTTCGGACAACAAATGTTGACGCACAGACACAATTATGTTTTCATAAACGTTCTTCAAATTCAAAAATGTAAGTGTAAGGGTTAATTTTGTCATTTCAAACCACTTCCCCATCATTATTTTACCTTCAATCAAATAAAGATTTAGAAAATTTTAACCAATTTTTCTGGTAAAACTTTGGCCAACCAAACAACTTTTTTTAAACTTTCCTACCATATTACTGGTAATTACATTTACCTAGTAAAAAAAAATATCTCTTCTACCAAACGCCTTATAAGGTTTTTCTAAAATTTGCTTCCGTTTCTCGATAGAATTAATGGGAACAAATACTAAGAAGTGAGTTATTAAGAATTTTGTCCTTTTTATGCCTAGATCCATTTCATGCTCTTCCTTGGGGGTTAAGGAATGAATAAAAATCCTATTACTTAGAATTAGCAATAGGTTTGAAAAAAGTATCCAACAATATGAGACTTAGATAATTGTAAGCATTCGTAAGGAAACATGATATGTGTGTGTGTTTGGAACATATTTCATTTAGTTGAAAATGTACTATACAACTACCCTTACTCAAGACATATTTTATAAACATGAGCTTTGCTTTTTTCTCTTCTCATATTATACATATTTTACGAAAGACAGAGCTTCAATCAAATTCATATTTGAATTGAAATTGAGATATTGATGCAACTTTCTTTTAAAAGATTAACAAATTGATTGTCTTTATTTAAGTTAATAAATAATAGGAATCCTATTTTTCAAGATAAATTTTATCTCCCATAGAAATATACGAGTTACATTTTTTTTTTTCTCTTCTTCTTATGTGTTTGCACATAAATTATACACACTTTTATTTGTGAGTTTGTAGGAGATACAATTATACAATTTTATATGTACGTAACAGATCAAATTATCTCCTATAACAAATATTAATCCCTAAATAAATAATATTTGAAGAAAAAAGTGGGATCGAGACTTTTAAATTTTTTTTTTTTTTGTGTGTCTAGTCTCTCGTAATTTATCTATTTCTCTCCTTTAAAATCATAGAACTTTGTATCCCTTCTAAAATGATCACACTTTTCCCTATACTGAAATATTGAAGTACTGGTAGAAAGTTAAAAGTAGATGTCATGTAAAACTTTTTTAAGCATAGAGCGGGAAGAAGGAGAAGATGGGCTCAGCATTTGGATGGTACGGTCCTCTCATAGACCTCCGCGCAGCCTCTTCTCACATCGGCGATTTCGTTCAACTTGTCGTCTTCGTTCATCGTTCCTTCCCCGTTCAGGTTTCTTATTCCTCTTCTACTCAACACTCTCCATTTATTGATTCTTCCATTTACGTCCATTTCTGATTCGCAGTGCAAATCGTCGAAACTCGGAAGAGACCTAATCCGAACCGACATTCAGGTCGGCGATGATACGACGCCGTATTTCGTAGTGTCTCTTTGGCAGAAGCACATGGGGTCCATGGTAGAAGCTGGAGATGTCGTTTTGTTAGAGAGTATTGTCTGAAACCTATTTTATTATCCGTTTTGAAACTCATTGCTATCGATTTGATGACTTTAATTCTGTTATGAAACGTGGCAGATTTCAAGATTGCAAAATATGGTGATGTCGTTGAGGCCAGAACCGTTCAGTGGTCTTCTCTGCTTTGCTTGGTTCACCCTTACGAATCACTTATCTCAAAGGGTTTGTTGTTTCATTGAACTGTGCAATAATCATCATTATTTTGCTGCTCCTCCTATACAAAATATCAATGATTAATGCTACACCCACTCATACTTACATGTACATCAATGATTGATGCTTATGTGAGAGATGTGAATGTGATGTGCAACAATAATAATTGAATGTGAATATAATTAGTCTCATTATGCTTAAAAAGTTCAACTTTTGCAATTTCCTTCTGTGCAGTTGTTGAAGAGTTGATAACTGGTTGCCGTGTTGGGACAACAACAAAGGACAAGCTTAGTAGGGTCATAAAGTGGGTGCAGCAGTCTCGGTCCACCATATGCAACATCAAGTTGAAGTCCAATCAAGTATTCTCTTTGCCCTGTAATTGTTGCCTGTACTATATAATTTCTAAGTTCATACTTATTGTGTGTTGATTCTGGATGCTTGCTTTATTGATGTTCTCTAAGTTGTCAAAGTTTTTGGACAGCATTTCTTTTCATTCAACTAGTGGCTGTTCCATCGAGTCATAATATGATTGCATCCATATTCTTTTCTTCTGTCACATTATCTTGTTTTCATAATGCCTATAGTACATCTTCTTATTCTTTTCTAGTCATGCCTATTGTTCAGCGAATGCATTTGCATGATTTTCCTTATATCATTTGATTTCCTAAAAAATTGGGAAGAAATGATGCTTTTATTAGCACATTACATAAGTGGCTCTTGTGGTAAGCAAGTTTGAGGGGTTTCTTGGATCCTTCTATTAACGAGCCTACAAGAAAGCACTTGTCGGGAAGAGCAGCTTCAGTTGAGAGAGGAGTAATCTTAAACTCAAAGGGTGCGAGGATACATCGTAAGACCAAAAAAATGACATTAGCAGGCTACATCCTATGGCTGTGGTTAAACTGTTACATTGAGAGCGTCATTTATTGCATTTATCACACATTATTATACAGTTTAGAGAATGAAGTTAGGACATAGCTGCAAGAAGATTAAGTTATGATAGCATAGGCATATTAAAAGATTAAAAATAAGTACAAGTTCCAAATCTGTGTACTTGTATGCTCATCATTTCATGTCCTAAATTTGAGGAATGTGCTATGTGATTGTGTACATTTGTTGTTGTTTGAAATGTCAAATGCACTTTGTTCTGCTCAATTGTCTTGAAGCAAGTTAGATGTTAAAAGCTAACAAATCCCTACTTCTTCTTCTTTGAGTGGAATGTATGCGTGTAGAAAGTGAACATAAAGTTATCAAATCACAATTCAAATCTTGAATTGCGAAAATATAATCGTGAATCATAAATGATATTGATTATAAGATTTAGAAACATAATGAAAAATAGTTTGAAATATATCTTATATATGTATTATGTATATAATGCTCAAGGTATATGAATAAAAAACAAAATCACAAGCTATAAGATCATAATTAAGTCTCATGATCAATATAGATATAGGCTAATAAATAAAAAACATAGTATATGTAAGTAACCAAGTCTAAAACTATTTATCCTCTTACAGTTACTCATCAATCATCAAGACTAATGTTATAACTATCATTATCAATTGTGTCGTCAACTAGCATAACCATCACTTTATCCTCTTCTTCTTTGGTCTCATTATTGTCCCTAATATGTTATTCATCAATTTGAATGCCTTTTTCTTAATCATTCTTGTTAGTGATGCCTTATCCTCTATCTTCTTCTTCTTCTTCTGTTTTGCATTATTTTATATGATGTCTTTTCCTTTATCATTCTTGTTGCTGTTGGTATTAACATTTTGATCATCTAAGAAATATAGATAATACATATGTAAATATATCAGATAAGATGAATGACAAAGAAAATAAAGATTTAAGAATTTCAAAAGCAGGTTTAAGATTTCAATCTACAATGTAAGAGCAATATACCTCTCTCTTTTTGCTTTGATCTCCTTCATCAGTCTTGAAGCACTCTTGACATCCATTCAAGAGTCTCCATCCATTAGGCAAGGCTCCTCTTACTCAGTAATATATTATTCGTTAGATGCTAAATCTGATAAGCCAATAGGATCTTATATCTCTCCTTTTGCCTCCCTTTGCTTTTGCATAATTTGAGGTGGAAAGTTGTATTTAACAAATACGTAAGCATTTAACCTTTGTTGCCCTAAGCGGTTTCTTCTCTTAAAGTGAATTTGATCAAATGCACTCCAATTTTTCTTGTGCCTTGTAGTACTATAAGTGAGAGGCTTAGGATAAGAATAACCAATGATTGTAGCTCTTAGCACTCATCTTCTAAAGTATTCCACCATAAAGCTAGCAAAATGAAATTATAAATGAATTTTTAGTTAATATTTAATCTATAAATATTTTTTGGAACAAATGAATAAAATACATAATAAGATATTCAAATGACCAATTACAAGATGCATCTTTTTCTCTAGTTGTGACTGCTAAAGTATTTCCAAAGAGTCACTCAACATTGTCAAAATTTTTAATTTGGGAATCAATTTTGACCTATGTCTCAATATTAGGTCACATCTTCTCCAATGTCATGCACAAACCAATTTTGACCTTAGTATCCATGTTAAAGTTCCAATACCTTCTTATATTTGCTTTCCATATGATTAAAATTCTTTGCTATTTGTTCCTTTGCTCCATCATCCACGTGTATGAGAATTTTCACGAGACTCACAATTCATGCAGTACTTTATTGATTTCCAAAACCTTGAATCAATATAAAAAATGTCTTCTACAACTTTAAATTTCATCTTAGAGGTAAAGGCATTCGTAGCCATTTTTAATGCAAACATAAATTGGAGTGCCATCTTTTGTTATGAAATAATATTCATTGTCAAATAAGATGTAACAGACCCTTGATATTGTTGGTCTAACTAACTCTCTATCTTTTGGAATAGCTTCTATACAAATTTACCAATCAGGTTTGTAATTCCATATTATGGTATTATGGAATACTGTAATGTATCAAAGTCTTCACGAATCAAATCAACTAATCAAGACAATGGGCTGCACAAATTGACCAAAAGAGTTGCTTTCTTTTATCCATCAACTTGTTTCTAGCCAATAAAAGGGCTGAAGCACAATTCGCCACTAGAACAACATTTTCTTCCCAAATTTCCTTCTCCATCTCACCTAGTAATTTGAAGTTTGAACATTTCTTCAGCATATTTAATGAAACTACTAGTATCTACAGATTTTATAAAACAGTCCTTTTAGAACTATTAACAAGAAAATTAGTAAGGGATCTATATTTTCCAACGGTCCATCCATTTGACATCTGTGTACAACCAATTCTCATGCATTCAAGCTTATATTTATCCAAATTAGCTTGGACAAGATCAACTTCTTTCTTCAAGTATGAGAGACTCACTTCATGATAAGTTGGTGTTTTCTTGTCTCTACCTTATTCTCTAATAGATTTCAACATATTAATAGGTCCCACTGTCTTGATTTTATTCTTAAAGACATTGGCAACATTACGGTATTTTATATTAGCATTGGATAAGCAAAGAGAATTTCATCTTTCATTTATAAGCATTCTTGAGTGTTGAATTTGCATAGGAGTTATTCCAAAGGTAGAGAGTGAGCTATTCCATCAATAACAAGGTTTGTTGCATCTTATATGACAACAAAGTCTATTTCGGAACAAAAGATTACGCTTTGATCTATGTTTATATTAGAAAAATGGGCTGCAAGTGCCTATTCCTCTAGGATGAAGGATAGGGGTATAGAATATTTTCTTCCAATTGATTCAATATTTTGAAAAATTAATAAAGCACTCCATGAATTGTGTGTCTCCACTTGTGAAAGTTCTCTGGCTTTTGGATGGTGATTCAATGTTTGCAATGTGATACATTTACGAGGCCCGTGGATAATGCCAATGAATAAGTAGCAAAAAAATTTAATCATGCACAAAGAAGATATAAGAAGGTATGAGAAATCATTGACAAGCATTGAGATTTATAATTCCATAAGCTTTTTCATGCAGCGACATATTTTTGTAATCCAAATTAAGTGTTTTTTAAAAGTAATTATATTTTTATGTAATATAATTTCCTTCTATTTGATTCATTATTAACTCTTAACTTATTATAAATTTATAATAATTCTACATGTTCTATTATGATTTCAACTTTAACCTAGATATTAAGGTTAAAATGATTTACACATGACATTAGAGTAGATGTGTCATGATATTGAGATAAGGGTTAAAATTGATTCTTAAATTGAGAAATTTATCAAGGCTGATGGATAGCATAGCAGTCATAATCAGAGAGAAGAAGTAACTTGGTAATTGATCATTTAAATATGTGAGCACGTATTTTATTCATTTATTTTAAAAGATATTTATAGATTAAGTAATTAACTATGTATTGTATAATTTCTTTTTACTAGCATTTTGGTTGAATAGTTTAGTTGATTAGTGAAAAGAGCTACAATCATAAGTTATTTGTGTCATAAACCTCACTTGTAGTGCCACAAGGTGCGAGAGGAATTGGAGTGTGTTCGATCATATTCCTCGTAAGTGAAGTAACTGCTTAGAGCAACAAATGTTAAATGCTCTTGTATTTATTAAATACTTTAACTTGAAATTAAGCAAAAACAAAGGGAGGTAAAGGAGACACATATGATTCTATTTGCTTATCAGATATATAGCATTTGATGATGAATGTATTATGGAGAAAGATAAGTCTTGCTTAATGGATGGGGTCTGACTGATAAAAGAAATCTAAATAGAAAGAGAGGTACATCGCACTTGAAAATTGATATATTTTTTTATCATAATTTGTAAATGCTTTTTTATTTTTTTCTTTTAGACATTTATCTTATCTTAATACCGACAAAAATGATAAAGGAAAAGGTATTATCATACAAGATAATGGCAATAAGAATGATAAAGTGAAAGGCATTGTCAGCAAGAATGGTAAAGGAAAATGCATTCGAATTGATGAACAAGATATTGGAGATTATCATAGCGAGATTGAAGAGGATGAGGATGAAGGATTGATTCTGCAAGATGATGACACAACTGATGTTGATAGTGATAACATTAGTCTTGATTATTAATGAATAGGTGGAATAACTAGATTTAGACTTGTTACTGTGTATTATGACCTTATGATTCTATTTTTTATTCATACATTGAGCACAGTATACATAATGCATTATTTATATGATACTTTTTTAAAAAATTCATTATGTTTCTAAATCTTAGATTCAATACCATTGGAAAATTAGCTTGGTGACTCAGGATTTGATAACCTAGACCCAACTAGTGTCTTCAATTTTTTGGATCCATGGCTGCATACCCTGTCAATTGGTATATTACAATGGAAATAAGAGAAAAAAACAAAAAAAAGGAGAGACTTTTACTTTCTTAGTGGCAAAGTTCAATTAGAGGCTCTCTTTGAGAAGTTTAAGAAGTAGGAAGAAAGGCAGTGGGATTTGAGAGTTGTCTTGAAGTAGATCTTAATATAATAAAATAAGTTTTGTTCTCTAGTCAAACTCAAATTCACTAAAAGAACCATGTTATTTTCTGGTTGAGATTCAAATTCAATCACTAAACAGAAGGATGTCTTTTTCTGTGTGGGATTCTTTTTTTCAAGCTAGATTTTAGGGTTTTTTGATTTGGGTTGCATCACATGGGGTCTCCTCCAATCTCCAACCCAACTTTGTAACATGCACAGTACCTGCAAAAAGGTGCAGCACTTGAATCTCGTCCAGTTACTAAATCACTATTTCCAGTGTGACATCATGCAATTCAGGATGTGATTCTGTCAAGCTCCATTATGCACTGAGTTGTATCGGATGGCATGATCCGAATTGTGAAACAAACAATTTCCATAACCATGGTAGGATACTAGGATGTCATTAATATTATACACCTATCCGGTTTTATTGTAATTCCTTAGTCCTGTAAACATTATGCGTAAACGATTGTGGATATTGTGATTATTAGACCTTGTTTAGTTCATATTTTAGGTTTAAATTCATAACAAAAATGGTTTTCATTGATAAGTTGACTTCTTTCACTTAGAAATACTACTGTGATCAATATGCTTCCTCCCATGCTGTACTGGTGTGCATATACTGATGAATCTGCTGAATGTGATATACGCAGCAAATAGAGTATGTGCCTAGAAACTGGACAGTGCTTGAAGAAAGAAAGCCTAGAGACTGCTTTTCCCTTCTGGAAGTCTCTCAGCTAGCAACATCCTGCAAGGTTACAGTCTGTGCATCTATTGGTGAAATTATTCCACTACTTACCACCAGGACTCTTGGCCATGCTGAGAAAGAGAAGATTTTCCTTAGCAGGAGACTTTATAAAACTGAGGATAATAACTTATTGAAAGATCTCTTATGCACTGGCTGCCAGCTGTGTGGTTTACCCTTAGATTCTGAGTATGAGTTTAGATGATAACTAAAGCCTTGTTGTTATGACTTCCATTATGATCAGTGATAATTCTTCCCTTCTTTCAGATTTGAGCAAAATGTGATTCCACTGATTTGTTCAAAAAGTACAAGCCGCCTTCATGCAGTGTGCTCGATATATAGGCCTTTCATGGTAAGTATATATTCACACGCCTTGCTTGTTTTGTTTCTCCTCACCATGATCTTATCCGATCTTTTATTTGAGTTTGGGGATTTATTTTTGAGCTGAATCTAATTATAGTCACATGAAACTGGAAAGATGAGTCAATGAGGAATCCATTATTCCATATACCTTTAGGCAATCGTTTGGATAAATGAAACAAATAATCCATCCATAGCCAAATTAATAAACTGCGATGCATCTTTTAAATATCCTAGATTTTTTTATTTATTTTTTTTGTAAATAATATCCTAGATTTTGAAGTATATGTGAATTGGTCCTATTTGTTTCATAATTAAGATACTAGATTATAATAGGAAAAATTAGTCTTGTTACGCATCTGATTTTTAACATGTGAATTAAATTATATAATCTTGGACGTGCTTAACATTGCCTTTTGATGCAATTTTTGGTAGCTATATGTGTGGGACGAATCAGATTACATGCCAGTTCTCGTTAAGAACAGGGCCGCAGAAATCTTGTTTGGGAACATCAAGGCTGAAAGAGTCTATTCGAGTTATAGAGAGCAAATGCTTAACCGAAATCCGGGTCCAAGAAATAAATGCAAGGATAATGATGAAGATGTAAGACTTGCTAATAACCTGAGACTTTCTGGGGAAGGACTTTCGAGTGCCAGTACATCAGAGGTGGGTAAGAGCTTGCAATTGGAGGAAAAATATCTTCCTGTTAAAAAGTTCAACTTTTATCATGTTTGGTTAATTTTTCTGAAAATGTTGCTGAAACAAGGAAAGAACGGTCCTCTGAAGTTTGAGATCAATGTTGATCCCAGCTTAAATATTGAAAATGGAAAATTTGAAATGGTTTCTGCAACAATGCCTTGCTTTGGAACCGAGTGATTTAATCTATTATGAACTGTTGCACATCTAAATTGCGAATTCTAGAACAATCCCTACACTCTCTTTCAAAATTTCATCATTTATTACTAAAAAAAAAAGAGAAGGGAAAATCAACTATAGCTCCATTAGTTCTGTGAAAATAACATTTTAGAGGAAAATGTTTGGTATGGACAAGCGAATAAGCAAGCGGACAGAAATCGCATTTTTTTTAAAGCGAATACGTTGTACCCATTTTTTTTTTTAAGCCAAACAAAAGTTATTTTTAGTCAATGTTTTTTAAGCCAAAAGTAACTTTAAGTTAAAATTAAAAAAAAAAGTTAAAAATTATTTTTTTTATTATATAACATTTTGATGATGTTTTTAGGATTTAGATGAGGGGACATATAATGATTTGTTATTGGAGTAAATGATTAGGGTAAAGGAAAATAGAATAAGTGTGAAACTAAAAAATAAAATAAGAACTCCAAAAAATTGATATATATCTTAAAAAAAATTACTCGTGAGTTTGTAGTTTTTCTCTTTTTTATTTATTATAAAAAAAGCTTTTTTATTATAATTTTTTTTTATTATAAAATCGTTACTAGATTTCTACTTTCAAGGAGAAATGAAGCTAATAATAAAATCGGGCAAATAGGCACTAAAACTATATGCAATATATTTAGAAGGCAAAAGCATACAAAATTGGAGATAATAGCCTGGCAAAGAATGTAATAGATATGGACCAGGAAGAAAAGGATGTTTATTAACAAAACTTCAACATCTCAAGATCTGTATCAATGGTATACAAGATCAGAGATGAAATACACGGAACTCCTGAGTACAATTATGAATTTCTCCTATTCTAGGATCTTTGAGAGTTATACGCTCTCTCCTAACTACCAACCAACTTCCCATCCCCATTTATTTATTTATTTTAAAATATTCCATCTATTCATCGTTTCGCGACTAGTCTGATTCAAGGCAAATTCAGAATTAAAACTTTAAACTTCTTCTAAAAATGATATTGGGATTTTCCCATTTATTTTTAATTACACGTGTAACAACAGACTTCTAGTTACACATATGACAATAGACTCAGGTCCTATTGAATGCATATCACAATCCAAACAGTACATTATAGTCCAGTACAAGATCGTGATAGTGCCCTGTATGAGCATGGTAAAAATGTGATTAGATCAAAATTGAACACGATAAGATCAGCCTCCTTTTGAACAAGATTACACAGCTCCATTTATTCAATATAAGTTTGCTCCTCAAACTAGAATTCTTTTGGGTATTACAGCGATCCTAAAATTAATACAATAAGGCTGTTTTTCCAGTATCATTATATAGGAAAACAAAAGGAACCAAAAATTTCTGAAATCTTTATGAATAAATTAACAAAGAAATCCTTTCTTATTCACCTTCTTTTGTTTACACTGCTAGAGGGAAAAGGTCAACAACAAAGCATCAATTAGAAGAACATTTGACCATGGGCTAACAGAAGAGTGCATTTAGTTTGTTACAATCATGACCAAACAAATTTGACAACCTCAAGATATAGAGCTCATGAATCAATTTCTGTCTCACTTAAAGAAGTCTCAGCTGCAGCACTTTGAGCTTCAAGTAGCTTCATTTGGCGCTCTGCATGTTCCCTTTCGCACGCACTAATTCCCATAATAATATCCAGCATAGTACCAGTGGTGCCAAAAAATACAAGGGGTGCTAAAGATTTGCGTTTTATCCCCACTGGAATTGCCAGCAAAGCTCCTGCCACTGAAAATACCCAAGTGCCCAATGCACTGCAAACTTTTGATGGTCAGTATATTTTGAACAAAATTCACCTTTGAAAAAATAAAAAAGGCACTTGCAAAAAAAAGCAAAATTAAAGAGTAAGGAAATGAATAAAAATAAATTGCCAAGAAGAATGAAGATCTTTCAAGAATTGAGTCAAGCTGAAGCGATTAAGGCATATTATTGAAACTCCTCCTGCTCCTACAGATCTCGTAACCATTTAGACCTCACTCCAATTCACAAAACATCAAAGAATCATACAGCAAAAGATATACAAAGGAGATTGGGGGCGGCAAGTAGACAAGCGAGGGGACAAAAGGGTCATAGCAGCGCATGCCAAGAACCTTTCTTCAATGCTTAGATAGATGCCATTCCACATCAGAGGATTAACCATGACCATGAACATCAGGATTTCAACTAACCCTAAATTCATCAGATAAGAAAAAATATTTTGTACAGTGACTAGGCAACTTAAGTGTAAACAGATTTGATGAAATGAAAATCCCTTATATGAATGACAGAGTAGTAATAATGTAATATAATTTATTGAAACATATCATCACCCAATACTCTCATTTCTCAGTGCACCTCGGTAGCAGTCACTTGATCAATTGTTAAACATTTATTGGTTTCTTCCTTGCAGGTTATACTTGATGGACTACCAAACTTTTATTGTCAATATATATATTTGACAACTCATTGAGGTTTCGGTATACTTCCTGAACAGGTAATTGAATTCTTCATTGCAACCAGTGAATTATTTGATTATTCCACGGGGACAAAAAGTATTCGGATGCTTATCGAGCAGTAGCCAAAGTTGTTGAAAGGAAGTGTCTATGAAAGGGAAAAATCACCTTAGGTGTAAGGATCTCAAATAATCAGAAATCCTGTAACTAGAAATACCTTTATTAAAACGTACATAATGAGCCAGGTTCATCTTTAATGAAGATAGTAAGTTAAGAGTTATGAACAACAGTAGGGGCCTATGAAGGAACCCAATCACTTAATAATTAAAATAACATGGATAGGTAAGGTAAGTTGAAATAGCTTTCTTGTAAATAATATTGGAATTCAGAAAAAGAATAAATAAGAATCTTGGAATAAGATGTGAAGTATTAATAGTAAGGAATGGTGTGGAGTAGAGTAGGTTCCCTTGAAAGTGCTCACTTAAACACTCTAATCCAAATACACTATCCCAGAATACTCTGTGTCATCGACCCTATTACAAGGGTGCAAAATAGGAGCCTAATTTTCATATCGAGTCCCTCATTTTTTCTGGTGTTCTAGCTAGTTCTTAAATTTGATTCAATTTGATTTTATTATTTAATTTGTAAAAGGGGTGTGTAAGAAGCTAAAAAATTATATCAATGAAGAGTGTTAAAACTACAAACCAAGTAAAGAGGAAGAGGAACTGACACTTACTTGGAAACGGAGCAGTCTTCGAGATGCTTTACATTTTCTTCACTTCCCATTTTCTTGTGACGCGTTCGCAGATGAAAAAACTAGGGTTTTTGTGTAGAACTGATAATTGGGGTAAGCCCCTTTCAACAACAGACAGTGGCGGAGTTAAAGAAGGAAGAAAATTCTTTCACCAAAAATAAAAAAATAGGGAAGAAAAAAAGGGTGCGTTTCATAATTTCACTTGTTTGAAATGATATAAAATTTATTTTTTAAAACAATAAATTCTTTTCTAATAAAATATATTTCATTTTCAATTTTCCAAAACGTTCTAATTTGTTTTAAAATAAAAAATATTGGGATTTGTATAAAATAATTTTATCTCTCATAACAAAAATAATTTTTTAATAATTATAAATAAAATAAAAATGAAAAAATAATATGATATCATATAAAAAAAAATTCACAATAGAATCGCACAAATCTTGAAATGAATAGTTGCAAAAATGTTAACCATCACATTCCAAGCATGAATCGGTTTTGAAAGGGTTGATGATACTAAATTGTTTCTATCTTTTTACTTAAATTTCACACATTTTTATTTTATTTTATTTTATTTTTGGTACAAACACATTTTTATTTTTAAGTGTGAAAAATAATTACACAATCATTCAATTATATATTTGTTACATTCAAAATAACTATTGTTATAATTAAAGTTAAAGGGTGTTATTAATCTTATGTCACATCAGACGGGTATTTCATGTGGTGAAACAAAGTTACGAGACTCACAATTTTTTAAAAAATAAAAAAATAAAATAAAATATGGACACAAAATTCTATGAGTGTGCAACATAAGACAATTATTTTATGTGACATAAGATAACTATTTTCCATAATTAAACTCATAATAATATGATAACATATAATTATCTAATTATGAAAAAAAATATGCACGTGAATTAAATTTTTATTTATTGAAAAATAAAGGACATAAAGCCAAAAATACAACTATGGGGGACACATGCATAATTAATTTAAGGATTCGTTTTTTCGGCAGTCCATATAAGTTATCTACATTAAATTTACGATGTCATTTTGGGACAAAAATTATGGTATTTTTGTAATTTTAATTTATTTCAGGATTATTATAGTTTTTATAATTATAATTTTTTAATATTTCAATATCAAAATGATGTTGTTTTGAGAATAAATACAGATAATTTATCTGTAGTAACAGTAAAAATATTTTTATGTTAATTTAAATTCTTTTAAATTAATCAGCAAGGTTGCAGATTTGCATAATTATTTTAAATTAATTACGCATCTAGTTTTTTTTATAATTTTAAATAATTTTATCTTGATTTATATTATCAAAATTTTACTTGAATTGATTATATATCACTTTTATAATTTATAATTTTTTTTTCTCTAATATATCTTAATAATTATGCTTGTTGTTTTAACCATAATTGGAGTTAAGAAGGCAAGTGTTTTGTTAGGGATATCAGAATCAGAAAATGAGAGGAATCGGAGGGCCTCTCCTATGCATCGGAGATCTTCTTGGCGACGTTGGAGACGAAGGAGGAGGAGACTCTCTCCGTCGTGAAGCATCTCCTTCTTCTCTTTCAATTCTCAACAACGCTCCTCCAGATCCACTTCCTGACCTCACCAACCTCTTCCAGGTTTCACTCTTTGCCGTTTCACTCATTCCTTTCCATTTCTGATCGCGTTTAACTTGTTTCCTTCGTGTCGTTTCAGGAAAATTACGAGCACTTGAATTCGGCACTTGCTGGCTCCGACCATTCTTGGACTTCCCTTACCTTGAAGGTATTATGCTCTATGCATCTCAATCTGTATGATTGTTTTTTTTTTCTTCTTAATCTGTCTTCTATTTTCAACTTATTATTATTATTATTATTATTATTATTATTAATTTTTTGTGTTTATTCAGTTATGCACTGCTTTAGAAACTGCAAACGAGCTGGTTCAGTCTACCAACTCAAATGTTTCGTCTTTGTTAGAGAAGGTTGAGGAGCTTCAGAAAATTGTTAAGAGAGGAGATTCTGCCATAGCGGCAGCAAAGACAGTTTATGTTACCCCTGACAACCATATTGGTGCTTTAAAGTGAAACAAGGTTAGTAAAATAAATTTTTATATGATTTTTTTTTTTTTTTTTTTTTTTTTGTGTCCAATAGAAAGATTTTTTGCTATATGAAAAGTATGTTGTGGTATGTTGTGGTACCTGTAACTTTTATAATTAAAAGTATCAGTGGTTCCTTTTAATTTGCAATGCTATTGCTCATTTCTTCTTTTGTTCTCTGTGTCATTTATTTTGAGGGTAACAATTGTAGCATAGTCTGTTAGTGCTCAATATCAATTTTATATCACGTGCATCAGTGGGCTGTTTGAGCTAGCATTATGGTTCTGGAACGTGAAAACTGAAGCAGAACAAAAAATCTGACTTAAATCCAGATTCAATTCAATGCAAAGTATATTGAAGTCAATTTCACCCTATTGAATGTTTTTTAGTTAAACAAATATAAGGGATTACTAAAAACACGGAAGACAAGTATGTGCTATTGCTTCTTAAGTTCAATATCAATCTTGTTGACGTATAATTTATTTATGTTGATTAACCCAAAGATCTTATTGCCTTAAAACTTTAGTCATGAACCACAAAACAGAAATTAATCGAGGATTGATAAATATATTATGTTAATTTTATTATAATTAATTTATAACTAAAATGTATAATTTTATATTTGATGCATATATTTTGTCATATTTAAATAAATGGCTGCATTACAAGTTTGATTGGTGATCTGGCAATTGAACCAGTGTCCCAGTGGCTTAGTTCCTTTGCAGGGTCTGGTCCAATCATTTTGTCTAACCCGTATTATAGTGAATCCCATTGCCACAACTCCTTCCTATCCATCAGTTTGTCTAACACTCTAACCCGTATTTACTCCAAATTACCTGATGCCATAGTGAAGAATGAAGATTATCTTCTTAACTTATCAAACAATGCTATAGCAAGTGTTTTATAAGCATCATCTGAAGGGTAACTGGTTTGAGGTAACTTGAGTCAGCAGTAGTTACTGCTGTTTGGACAAAATCAGTAGGAGTCAGAATCCTAATTTCGAGGAGGTAACTGCAGATAAAAGAAAGTTACATTGATATCCCTTGAGATTGATGAGGCCTATGCAAACCCCCCCTCTAGTTTCAGAATTTACATTCTAACCCTATTTTAAACTTTCATTAAACAAATATCTCTCCTGATTAATTTTTGTAAACACATAGATGTGAAGGAGGATCCAATGCCATGCCTAAAAGCTAGACTGTAAGGAAGGGAGACACCTCTTTCAAAAGAAGTTCTGTGTTGCACACCCTACCAATGTGGGTTTCACCCTCCTGTGTCTCACGAATACCCTGAAAAATCAAGTGGGAGCTTTTTGGTATAATATGAAAATGGAGGTTCTGTTTGTGTAGAATCTGAAAATATCTCAGGTGTAATTTACTCTAAAAAATTGGAATGCATTGAAAATCATACCAAATTGAGGAAACAAAATATATCTGAAAATTATTAAACTGGAAATTTGGCATCTTTGGGGTCTCTCAGTGTGAATTTGGATGGCAGTAAGCTAAATTTCCACCCCCTTGTAATGCCCTTTCCTTTTCCTATTAACCCCCCCTGCCCAAGCCCTTGCCAGGGGAAAGAAAATTTTGCCTTAAGGCTAAATTACTGTCAAGGGAAGTTATATGCTGAAAATTCAACTTGTGTAGGAAGTAAAAATAAGTTCTGTGTTTACTGTTGGCTGTCATCTTTAAATGTTAACTGAACGATCACCTTTTATTAAGTTTTGCTGAGACGTAATGTCAGCACTCAGTTGTAGACTTGTAGCTTGCTTTCCCCATAAACTCACTGAAATACAGAAGAATTTGGCTTCAGCTTCTTCGTAGATACATTCTGCTGCAGGTAACCCTATTATGTGATGTCCCATTAAAGCTTTTAAGTTTGGGGAAGGATGGTTTCGTGAGAACGAGATACGTTTTGTTTTATTTTATTTATTTATTTTGGTACTTGTGATCCGAAAAGTTATTTATTTATTTTTTAGATAAAAGATTCCAAAAAGTTTTATAACATTATGCTTGCATGTTAAGGACCCGGTGAATTACCTGCCCTGCTTGCATGTTTTCCTGATGGAAAATGTGTCAACTTCTCACTAATTATATTTATCATTGAACGTATTTGATATTTTCAGTTTGCGAGAATATTTTCATCAGTTTTCAATCTACAAATAGGGCATAGATGGTTTCGGACTTTCGTGCCTTATGTAATATTACAAATGTAGAAGAGGAATTGCTTTTGTTCGACTGGGAATTGTGGTATTTGACCATCTTTACAAAAATAATTTGCTTCTAGATTTTAGGAGAATGTGATTGCTAGATATAGGGAAAAGAGTATAGATACCCACTGAACTTTGATCCTTTTCAATATCCGCGAACTACAAAACCCTCCTAGTTTGTCATTAAATCATAAGTAATACTGCAAGTGCTCCTTCTGTCCAATTGCTGTAAAGTCACTAGTGACATGGCCAAATCTAAGCCTTCCATTTATATGAGATCTAAACTGCCCATTAAAGTATTCTTTAAATCGTGATTTAACTTATATATTTCATTCCACCATATAGAAGATAATAATCCTGTATTGAAAAAAGAGAGAAGCATCAAGTGGATGTGGTCGCAGCTAGAGCAGTGCCAACTGGCAAGGCTAGCATCCTCGAGGCCACAATTTTCCTGTGAAATACTTGTTACTAACCTGGGATGGAGTTGCTGAACTCGCCCATCAGACTGACCCGGGATTTCTGCATAAACATCCACTGTCAATACAAAACCCTAACCTCCCTTCAGTAACAATCCTCATCCCTATTTTCCTTTTAGAACCCAATTATAAGGCCCTGCACATTGTTAAAGAAGAAACTATTTGCATCATAAAACCTAGCAATTGAAGTAATGAGCCTATATATTGCCTTGGATTCAGAAATAGCCACCAATGATCAGAGTAAGTAAATAAAAAAACCACAAGACAAGTATTGTGTTTGAATATTTGACCGTACAAATTAGAATCATCATATATCTTCCATGTCCAAAAGAATTGCCCAAGTTGTATCGTTCACTATATAGTACATACTATCATATTCAAGGATCCAGTTTCCTTTGAAATTGCATGAACTCGTTACACAGATACGTCCAACAAGAGCCCAAATTTTCATTTGCCCTGCCGATATATAGTACTTAGCTACTAGAGTATGAGAGTCTTTAATGTTCTATATCCTAAAATTCTTGGATATCCCTTATCTAAAATAGAAAGGCACCATTTTTATTATATTTGATCTAGAAGAGCAACACTGCATAATTCAAAATTTTCAATTCCATAGAATCAAAATATGGGTTAAAAAAAAAAGGGAATATATTTCTCAAGATAATTCACAAATAAAAAAGTGAGTGAGATTAACTTTTTTTTAGTAGATCCTATTCATTTTTTTGAGTGTGCATGAGACAAAATTATTTTATACAATATGAGAAATATAATGAGAAATATATTCCCCTCACGAATCATAACAGGAATGGGTTCGGCAAAAAAAAAAAAAACACGCCAGCCATGGAAAATAGACAACGGTATCAACAAGTTTCCATTTGCTATGCGAAGTAAGAAGTCCAAACTTTTAGATGCTGCCGTTTGCATCTTTTTGTACAAATAACTTGATTGTGGGTAGGAGTGAAATTAATAAAGAAAATGAAAGAAACAGTTAAATAATGCTTTCAAGGCTTTAAAATGAAAGGAAAAAACACTTCAATTCTTTTACATTCAAAATAAAATATTTGTTGATTCTTTCTCGTTCAAGTAACAAAACAAGTACGTAACTTTGGCTCTTTGACCAAAAGGGATTTTTAAAGAAAATAATTAAATATAAATATTAAAACAATTTTAAAATATCAAAATCTTATTATTATTTTTTAAAAAACAAATCATGCACAGTATAAAGGATATTGAAGGAAATTTTTTATTATTTTGTTCAATAATTATGATTATCAAATAATATATAATATAAATTTTAATTTAAAGAGAAAAATAATTATGAATGACCATTTAAATTTTAATTAGAGAGAATGGTCATTTAATTTTATCTAATAGGCACAATTACTTTTAAAGAAATTTTAATTGCTACTATTAATCACTTAAAATGAATGATAATCATTCGCATAATAACTACTTAGATACTTTTATTCAATGAGATAAATAACAGTCATTGACGACAAATTAATAGTGGTTGATGATAAATATTATATTATTGACCATAGTTATAGAAATCGTAGGATTCGAAATATCATATGATAAGTTGGAAATGACATTGAATCTATATGCTCAAATCAATGTGATTCCATATCATTAATACAAATAACATAATTCAATGATTTATTCATGTTTTTTTCTTTTATCAATTCTTATAAAAGAAATTGAAAAGTCAAATAAGCATAAATTGTTCAGTTCAAAAGGAATCCTATTTGATTATCCCATTGCCCTAGTTTTATTCTCTTGAAACAGGGGCTATACACACTCACTCTATCTTCGTTATTCAATTACTTTGATTTTTTTTTTTGAAACTGATCCTACTTATCTCTTTGAGGCGAATCAGAATCTCCGGTATTCTCACGAGTTCGACTCTTTGAGCCGCATATGGAACTAATCCAGAGTTCGGGTGTGAGTCCAAGAATTACGGTACTTATGCCCCTCCCAAGATGGTGTTGGTGGAATTTAAACCGAGGTCCTCTCCCACCACTCAGTTCTCATGCTACCAACTGAGCCACCACACTTGGGTACTTTGTTTTAATTCTTATAAAACAGTCATTGCTCATGTTATATTCACCTTATTTAGTTATATTATTGCTATATTTTTATTGTTTTAAAATATAAACGGGAAGGATATACTTACCACCGAAAAAGTTTATAACCTTTACAACTAACCTAATCACCGTTGATTTCTGTCAATTTAACGATTATCATTTATTAGAAATTATTGGGTCGTATTTATTAATTAATTATTAATTCTAATAAATGATAACCGTTAGATTGACGGAAATCAACGATGATTAGATTGGTTGTAAATGTGGTAAACTTTTTTGGTTGTAAGTATATCCTTCCCCGTAAACTTTATGCAGTCATTTTATGTGATTCAATAATAATTTGTGATTTTATTTTTTGAGAAATATAATCAAGTTATTTTATCAATTTATAGTTCTACTCTAAAATTACTACATTGTACAATATACATTATCTATATGATATTTATTTAATAATAGGTCAATCATAATAACTAAACTAATCAATCACTACTGTTGGCTACTAAAAAATAAACTATAACTATTTCATGTGATTGGGACTAACTAGTTGTTGTTGACCAGTCAGTGAAAACTATTCATCATTCAGTGAAAACTATTTTATTTAATAAGAGATAAGATCCTTTGACACCGATAAATTTGACACTTCATTTGAGAGCCGTTAGATTAAAAAATATCAATAACTCTGATTTGTAAGCATGTAACGTCATTGATCTTTTTTTATCTAACGACTCTCAGATGAAATATCAAATTTTAAATTTGACATCAAAAAGTATCCTGTCTCATTTAATAAAAGCCATCCACAATAAATATTAGACAATTGACCATTCAGTGCAAACTAATCATTAAAAAATGAGAAGTACGTATTTACGTGGTAGTTACCAAGTGAGTATTAGTGACCAATCAAAGAATGGTAATATTATAAATAATAAAAGTAATTTTTATATTTACAAAAAAAAAAAAAGTAATTTTTATGACTATATAAAATTGAGTAATATTTTATATAATTAAAATTGTAATGGTTCTTCTTGATAATTTTAATTTTTAATTCCTTTTAATTAAGTGTTACTTAATTTTCCCTACATTCTATATTGAGATCGTCGGATTTAATTATTTTTGTCTGACAACCTATCTTTTATTTTTATATAAAGTTACAAGTTTTATAGTAAGAGGAATGTTATACTTACAATCTTTTTTTTTTTACAATATTTTACAACCATATTTTATCACCGTTGATTTTCGTCAATCAACGGTTATCATTATTAGGAATTAATAATTAATTAATGAATTTAATTTGTAAAAATCATAATCGTTGATTGGCGAAAATCAATGGTGTTAAGATATGATTGTAATAGGTTGTAAGTATAATCTTTTTCTTATAGTAATTGCATCTACAAAAAAAATTTAGGTGTAACAAATTTTATAACAAAAAAATCTTTTATCAAATTTAATGATTCGAACTGGAAATTCTATGTAAAAAAGAAATTAGATTATTATAATTGAGATTTCGTACATTTTAAACCCATTGAAATTTTAAAGTTCACCACCTGAACACAGCTTACGTAAAATAATAATAAAAGAAGGCAAGAGGAATTTTTGCTGCTGATGTTATAACCATTTTAATATTGAGTTCAGGTGTATGATTGAGTTGAGTCCCCCACACTCACTACAAAGCGAGATCAAACAGGCAAACACAAACAACAAAACAAACAAATTACTGAAATTCTCACTGAGCCACTGACCTGCCGGTTGTTCCATCAACAATGCTCAAATTTCACATTGAAGAAAGTGCAACCCGTGATTAAGCGGAGCTAGTTAATACGGGAAAAGCACTATTTTAAAAAAATTTAGGCAAAAGAATTGTCGAATTAAAATTAATTGGATAAATTTTTCTAAAGTAATATAGTTAAACATGTCACATATGCTGACGGGATTAGTTCCGTCACTGACACTGACGGGACTCGTGTCACGTCAGCACCACGTAGACAGTTCCGTTATCGTAAAACTTTGGAATGCTATAACTTGTGACTCGGGTATCTA